CCTCGACCTGTTGGGCTCCAGAGATCCTTCCGCATCAGCCTTCCAAGTAGCCGGAATTACAGACATGCGCTACCATGCCCGGCTGATTTTTTGATTTATTGTAGAGAGGAGGTCTCGCTGCCCAGGCGGGTCTTGAACCCGCGGGCTCAGGCAATCCACTCACCTCAGCCTCCCAAAGGCACAGGATTACAGGCTGAGCCACCGAGCCCGGCCTAACTTTATTTCTTATCAGGTGTGTGAGCAAGACATTACTTTCTGATCATTTTAGTAACAGTGTTAAATCAGCAAAATTAAATGGATTACACTGCGTTGTGTTTTTTAGGCTTGTGATTTATGGTAACATTTGTTAACTGTATATGAAGCCATTCATCTATAACATTTATTTAACAATTTTTGTGTAGCAAGTCTTTTGCATATCTTCGCAGAGAAGTTGCTCCTATTATTTGGGAAACTAGATGGAAGGTTCAGACCATGCTCTCCAATACAGAGCCAGGAAACTGAGCATTGTAGCTGGACTTATCAGGAAAGGAATGTAGCCTAATGTTCATTCTTATACGGGTGGAGGGGGACTGCCTTGAGCTGCAGACATCCCTTTTTGCCCATAATGCCTGGTGGAAGCAGTTGTATGGCTGGCATGTCGGATTCCCACAGCTTTTAAGCTTCAATGATTCCCAAAGAATCATTGGCAGATGGACCGTGCACACCCTCCCTCTCCTGACCACACAAAGCCCCTGCCTTGCTGGCTGGCTCTCTCAGCTTGCTCTCCAAATTCTCGAAAGTGTCACCCTGCTTGAGCAGGTCCTGTGTAGCTTCTTTTCCATGCCACCCTTGGAGCCTCAGAAAACTCCTGGATGGCATGGGCACTCCTCACTCTCCCTTTTCTGCTCAGTTGCCACCTACTGTACATGGGATGGGTCAAGTGAAGTTCAAGTTGATTTTCTTCTCATTTGCCCTTCAAAGTTTGGAGTCTATGTGAATTGTTGCCCCCCCACCGCCATTGTGCTCTAGTGAGACAGAGGGGCAGAAACTTGCCCAACATCACCGACACTCACTTGTCCTGGAGTGATTCTGCCTGGGAAACCAGGTCGGGGCTTCCGCCTTCCTTAAATATGTTACATCTCACAGCAGAAGTGATGCCTTGCGAATTTGGTCATGTCGAAATCTGAGTCTTTGCTCCCAGACTGAGCCGTGATCACAGCAAACAGCATTCTGCACATAGCAACAGAACAGCAAGAAGGGATGCATTCAGTTAATGTTTTACATATCACTGAGCCATATGTGCATGCACTGTGTGCATCCTATTAAAATCTCACATACCTCACATTCAACATGTGTCTAAAGCAGGTCGCTCGGTCTTGGTGTTCTCCCACACCTTTCCCTGTTTTCTTTCCTTAGAAGAATAATAGACTCAGAATCCAAAGTGTCCCCCTCCTGAACTGTATGTATCGCCTTTGTGACTATATCAGTAATTATACAGACACATAAGTTATTTGTTTTTTATTGCTGTTTTGTAACATACTATCCTGTCACAGCACACTTGAACAATATTAGTTGACACATTTTTATTTTGCCTTGTTTTGTTTTTTCCCATGAAGCAAAATGACTGTTTTGTTACAATACGAGTCTAATGTATCACTATGAACTGGGACACAAGTTAAGACTCCCCTTTGTTCAATATTTTCTCCTAAAGTCCCCTTTTGTGGGACAGGGAGCTTGTTTATAGAAAAATATTTCTTTCGGGAGGAATGCTGATTTGAGGATACTCATGAAGTGTCTGTCAAAACGCAACTCTTTGGGAGCAAGGGTTCTTTCTGTGGAAGAAAGAATGCATCAGGAAGGAGTAGGGAAAGTAAGATCCCCACCCTAGTAGAGATAGATTAGAATGGGAGTCGTGAAAAATATCTGTTCATGAAAGTATATGTGTGTGTGTGTGTAAACAGAAGTCTCTGTGCATGTATGCATACATCCATGTTTCTTAGCTCTTATTCACCAGAAAGTCCTAGAAGCAAAGTCCCCCAATTAATATACCTAGTATCCAAATCATTGTCTTTAATATCATTCCCAATAAAAAGAACCAGAAAACCTTGGAGAAATGTCTGATTTCAGAGCTTGGGCAGGATGAAGATAAACCTGGAACGTATTATGCCAGAAAGAAAGGAAATGCCCCTAAAACCAATGGGCATGTCACAAGGACAGAGGAACCAGCTTAAAAAGAGCCCCCAGGTCAAATTTGAATCAAATTGACATGAAAATAACCAAGGAAAATAATGAATCATAGACCATTTTTTTAAAAAGCAGAAATCCACGTGCCCGTTTGAATAGTGGATTCACAAAGAGAGAAAAATATGATCTCTTGCTTATAGTACCAACTGGTAAATGTGTAGGAAGTGTTTGAGTAGGAAAAAACATCATCATTTTGTGACCACCATGCTCTGAGTTGATTCCATCAAGAGCCATTCGTAGATGCTAAATCCATGGAAATGCTGATAACACACGTGATACTTTTATGATCCTAACGCATCTCCCCTCAAACTGCTTGTCCGTTGCAAGTGGTTGAGCAGAGGCCCACGATGGGTGGAGAACAGTGAGCCCTCGAGTCGAGAAACCTGGTGGCACTTTGACAAGGTCCTCAAAACTCACATCGTGGATGAGGGGCGGGAAAGATCTCGTGTACCTGGATGGGCTACCCCGAGAACTGACATCACTTACATTTCACTTCCGTCTGAAATGCCTGCCTTAAATCTAACATAAGGAGATGAGGATGCAGCCAAAATGAGGACACTTGATTAATAAAAAAGGGCTAGATTCTTCAGAAATATTAACGACCTCATAGACAAATAAGGCTTTAAAATGGTTCCAGCTCACAGGAACCTGAAGGAACATGGCAAGGAAATCTGACACTGGACTGGATCCTGAGTTGATGGAGAAATGCTGAATAAATGACATTGTTGGTCAGTTAATATAATCAGAATGCAGATTCAGATGAGATAAAAAAACATTATATTAATAATAAACTCACTGACGTTGATAACTATACTATTCATATGCACATTTATTTGTAAGAAATATGCACTAAAGTATTTTTGGTTAAGGAGGTATGATGTATGCAACTTAATCTGACATATATTGGCTTTCTCTATATAATATGGAGAGATTTTGATACGTATTTTCATATATATTTCAAAGTGTTGATAATGGGTAAGACTGGTTAAAGGAAACAAGGCTGTTCTATCTACTATTCTCATTCTTAAATTTCTGGGGGGTTTAAAATTCTTCACAATTTTTTTATGTTAAGAGGAAAAATACATTCATTTGTTAAGAAAGGTAAAAAGAATACAGTTGTCAAAAACAAGGATTCTCAAGTTTGGGGACGGATGGGAAATATGTGAAGGTGACCTAAAATAAATGTTTCTGACGTGAATATATGCATAGATATATTCCAAATGAATACGTAAGCAGAAATGCCATAAGGAGGCTGGGTTCCATGGCACAGATGATGAAAAATGATCCAGTAACCTGCTGCTAGGTTCCACACTGATCTAAAAAATGCAGTCGGAATGAGCCAGCCAGGTTTTTTTGTGCTGTTTTGCTATGGAAGTTCAAGCTCACAGAAATGTATTAGAGGCTTACAGTATATCTGTCCAAAACTAGGTGATATCTAAGACTGGGGGAAATACACAGCCAACATTTTTAAGTAAGGTCGTAGTTATATTTACAATGGTGAGGTCATTTGTTTATTTTAGGCAACAATAATGTAGCTATTGTATTTTCCATTTACAAACCATTCACAGGTGTTTATATTCAGGTCCATATGCACAAATACAAACTTTAAACAAATTGAAAATTTGCAAACAGTGAAAATTGAAGGTTTTTCTTAATCCATTCTGCATTTGAACCTGACCTGATTTTAGGCTAGGCTATTCAGAGTCCTTAGTGATCCTGTTTGGTGTGAATACCATATGTCTTACTGCAAATATATAGTTGCATTAGATTAACAGGGCACTACTATGGACCCCACTAGAGGTGTTTCATAAAACACTGCACTCTGTAACCTTTCTAAACATCTGAAAACCTCTGAATCTTAACACTCACCTGGACACAAGTACTTTGCTTCCATGATTGTGGATCTCTGCTGTCTAATTTCATTGACAGGCTAGTTCCTTATCTTTGACTAAGTACAATAATAATTATGAGAAAAATAATTATTACTTCACTTAAACAAGGGTAAGAAAATAGGATACTAGAAAGTAAAACTGAAAATAAAATCCTAAAATTCATTTCAAGGACCCAGATTCAGGCAAGACTTTAAATCTTGTCTTTAATAAAGACAATGTGGCAAGTTGTTCATAGCTGTGCTACCTATTTGAATTATAAGTAGAATCATAACAACAAGTACTCTAATTATATTTCCTGTTTTTCTTCTGCAGTTTTTAACCATATGCAAGTAAAAGCAGACTAATACGGTGGGAAATTGTCCAGACTAAGAATTTAGGTTCAGAATCCCACTGTTTTCTGCCATTAACCTAGTCATTAGACTTTAGTTATAAGATAAGTAATTTTGATGAATGTGATTTCTTCTGAATTTTAAAATAGTGATCCTAGTTTCAGTAACTTGTATTTACATTTCATGTTTTTAGATTCTTGTTGCTCGTGGTTCTAAAAGACATGCTACAATTTTATTGTATAAAGATGTGATTTTGTTTGTTTTGAGAATAAGAACCCTCTAATCCTAAGCAATATTTTTGTATACAGTGCAAGTTCCAGGGCCAGTAGAAAACCTGCAAGCTGTATCTACCTCACCTACCTCAATTCTTATTACATGGGAACCCCCTGCCTATGCAAATGGTCCAGTCCAAGGTTACAGATTGTTCTGCACTGAAGTGTCCACAGGAAGGGAACAGGTGAGTGAGGAAATGGGCCACATGATGCTTCCATCTACTGGGGGCTTTCATCTGTTGGAGGATTCCATCTATTGGGGACCTCCATCTATTGGGAGCTTCCATCTATTTGGGGGCTTCCATCTATTAGATGCTTCCTTCTATTGTGTACTTCCATATACTAGGGGCTTTCATTTTTTGGGGACTTCTGTCTATTGGGGGTTTCTTCTTTTGGGAGATTCCATCTACTGGGGAATTCCATCTATTGGAGGATTCCATCTATGGGAGGCATCCATCTATTAGATGTTTTCATCTATTGAGGGCTTCCATATATCAGATGCTTGCATTTATTGGATGGCTGTAGGGCTGGAGAAATAAGAAAGGACCTGCAAGCTCTTGATAGGGCACAGTGTTTAGCACACGAGTTGAATAGCAGATTAGTTTAAAGCACTTGTTATTGGAAACTTTAAAGGATTTAATTAAATAGTGGAGATGAAAGAGGTTAATGGGTAATGAGATGAGGTCAATAGCAAGGATGTCAATTTTTGTTTGAGTATGCAGTGACCTGGTCAGTATGGGTAATCGCATTTGTATTAACCCACCTGCTCCCAGGAAGCATTTGCATTTTCTCTCCTTATCCTAAGGGGTGATTGCCCTTATATTTAATAGCCTAAGTGAAACTGCTCTTTTCACTCAAATATACTTGGTATCATTAAATTTTCCCACCATCAGGTTATGACCTGTCATTTTCATTGTTTTCACTAGAATTTACTCTTAGAAGTCTATCCTTCTTCTCCCATTTTGCTCGTCCTCCATGGTTAACCTAGACTCCTGAAAAGAGGTAATTAGTTGTTCAGGTAAAGTAAAACTAACTAAGACTTTAGCAAGACACATGAGACTCAGCGACTCTATTTTCGACATACGACTATTCAGATGTTCACTTTCAGATTCTCGCTTCATATGGGAAAAGATATTCAGGCCAGTGTCTGGATAAATAGCCTTCAGATATAGGGGTTCTTACCGTGGGCATGAAGATCGCCAAGGATAGCGTGACCTTCATGTGACCACATGACCTGCATGATCAGGATATTTTATTTAGAAAACATTTGGCCACATCCTCTTCCGAACTTGGTTCCAATTCAAAGTTATATCATAGGGTTAGCATTGCAAGAGCTTCTGCTATGTAATATGCATTTTTTCCTTGCTGTCCCCATGCAATTTTTGCTCTTCCTTTTCAACTTTCTGTTCTATGTAATTCCTTTATATCTTAGCTCTTCAATAATACCCTTTGTCAGCTGATTTAAATGAAATAGAAAACAATGTCACCTAAGAAGGGTGTGAGCGTGGAGACCTGATTCCTCAGTGCCCTTCCCCTCTAGGAGTTCATGGTCTGCAGCTGTGATGTGCTGAAAACAGTTTCAACCCACCTCACAGAATTGGGAAGATAAAAGTCATGACAAAGTATCTGAACGTTTCAAGAGCTGTGGGTCTATTTCAGCCAGAGAAGAAAGAAATCTGTTGTTTCTTGGTGAATTATGCCATGTGGGGTCCAGGAGCAAATCTCTGTTCCCAAGGTGTCATAAGCTGCCTTCTACCTGTCAGGGTTTTGGTGAGGGCAAAACAACCTATACCATCCAATATATTAGGCAATTTTCAACAAATTGGAATGCAAAGCCTGCAAAAATAGCATATTATATTGAGTGAACAGTCTATAGAGTAGTTTGGGCTTTAGTGGGGGAGTCTGTGTCACAAGTTGGGTTTTAGAACTCATTTAAGACCAGAGTATAGTTTGTAAGAGTCTAATATGAATGTGCTTCCTTAATAACAGTTTTGGTATTTTATTTCTCCAGAATATAGAGGTTGATGGACTATCTTATAAACTGGAAGGCCTGAAAAAATTCACGGAGTACAATCTTCGATTCTTAGCTTATAATCGTTATGGCCCCGGAGTGTCTACTGATGATATAACAGTGGTTACACTTTCTGATGGTAAGTTATAAACAGGGAAATTCCTGTACATGTTTGTTTTAATTATGAAATACTATTGTATGCAGGCCATAGATTGCACATCCATGACTTCTTGACTAAAATTTCATGACATAGGTTAGTATAAATTAAAAATTTGGCTGATTCGTTCACCCTACCTTCACAGTCAAACTGAAGCGTTCTATCAAGGAATATACTCTTTGTCAGTATGAGCTAATAGATATTCCTCAAAGCCCAAATCGTTTGTGTGTGTGCTTCTTTATTTCTATAAATTCTTTAATATCTCTAATACAAACACATTTGTTTATTGTGGACTCATTTTGATTGAATATATTTAATTTATCTTTCTACACGGATAAAGATGGTTAAAAGTATAAAAAATAGACAGTTATTCCATGTGTGCCTCCTAATTGGAAAACATAGTATAAGGACTTAGAACAAATAATCCAGCATGGAAAGTATTAAAACTGAACATGGGAGTATCTATTTTTAACTGTATCTTGCATAAAAAAATGAAAGGTGAGAAATATTTTTTAAGTGTCATAAAAGAAAGGAAGAAATCTTAATAAAGAGGATAAATATGAGAAAACAGTGGCAAGGAAACTAGAGATCTAAAGAAGAGATGATAATGAAAGTTTGAGAAATTGTCTAAAAGGTGAAAATAAAATATAGTGGTGTATATCTTGTGGGACCAATGAAAATCCAGTCAGGTGCAGAAATGCAGAATCGACCCCCCTTAATATTAAAAAGGCAGCAAGCTAGCTCTTTTGAACAAAAGTTCCCAGGCTGGTGTGTTTAATTCAATAAATTATTGATGTTTTAATTAAAAATGACTTTAGCTTGTGATTCCTTACAGATCTATCATTCTTTTATCTGGAAAAAACATCTGGGTATATATTTTACCCAATTTCAATGGAATGAGGAAGGACGTGCATGTTATTAAGGCCATGTAAAGAGAACACTCAGCAATGCTTATTTGCAATTTTGGCTTAAAAATGTATTTTGTATGTAATGCCACTTCAGTATCTTTTTAAATGTAATTCTTATGCCCATCCATCCAATTCTGTTATTGAAGATGGGACAGAATATTTATTGGCAGAATAAATTACTTCACAACTTATAATTATAAAAATAAAAGAAAAACAAATGAAAGTGAACATTTTGCATAATTTATGTAGATTTCATTCACACTCTGAACTGCAATGCTGTGGCCTGATTCTCCACTTTGGTTTTAAATGTCGTAAGTGAGAAAGATAGATTATTATTCATTAGTCCAAGAATTCTCTTCAGGAAGTGTCACCATGTTTGGTATGTAGAAATGTCTCTCACTAAAAAAAACAAAAAGAATTCCATGTCCCTAACCCCAATAAACATCACCGTGCAAAGGACGCCCAATTCCCTCTATCAAATGCATTTGAAAGAAGGCGGGGACGACACGGGCTCTTTGGAGCGGGCACCCTGACCTCATCTGCATTCACCTCGACAATCAACACGTCTCTGAATTTCCAATAAAAATCTGTACTCGGCTTTTATTTCCTTATTATCCAGTTCCTTTCTGTCTACTTCCATCTCCACCTCACTTTCAGATGTAATCACATTTAACAGTAACCTGCCTCCTTGTCCTCAGAGCGCTCTTTACCTTTGACTGTTTGAATGTTGTAACAGGTGGATGCTGTGAGAATTAAATGGGCTGGTCCATGTGAGCACCTACAACAGCGCGTGACGTACGGTCAAATGCTTTATAAATGTGACTTGGCTGACGTGCACGTCTTTTTCACATGATACGCTCCTAATAGAAGGGATGGTGTTCTATTCACCTCTGTATTCCTCCAAATTTAGAATTTATTAATTAAGCAATCCAGCCGAAACTGTAAAGATATTTGTAAACACTTATCATAAAGACCTTATTTGTGGAACTAATTTAATCTATGACTGTCTAATGCATTTGTGCTTTAGAAAACATCATATTTTTTATCATGTCGGAGAAATTCCTTCCCTAAAAATTTATATTGAGGCATAGAAAAACAGGGGAAAAAATTTAATGTAAGTATTTTTTCCAGATTAATTATTTCAGTGTGTTCTCTCTTTTCTGCTAGTTTGCTTATAAAGATTTTTATCCAGATGAGCTATCTTCTCTATTTCAGCTCTACTTTAATTATTTTTCTGAGTAGAAACATTATTTTTCATTCAAATTCCTCCATTTAGTATACCATTAGTTTATGGTGACCCCCTTCTATACACCATTGAGATTGTAGAACATATAATTATATAACTAGAACTGCCAGTTTATTCCAAAATACTGACTATTGTACTAATTGGAATGGGTAGTTCATTAACAGCTTTTATGGATGAATGAACAATTATAAATGTCTATGAATTATAAATTGTAAAAGTGTCTATGACAGCTAGCCCTGAGTCCAAAAGCAGAAGGACCTATAGGCAACATAACTATAAGAATGTGCTTGTTACCAATAGCAGTTGAATATTTACCACTACGAGGCTGATCTAGGTACTTTGCCTAATCTTTTATCCTTGCAATACTATAATTTTCCCTACTTTACAGATGTCAAAAATAAGTTAGAAAGAGACCACAAAAGCAATTAAAAAGCAGAGCCAGGCAGGATTCAATGAGGAAACGTACATTTCTCTTACTCTGTGATAAATGACCATTAAAAACGTCCATAAGTAAATACGAATTTTTTGATTCCTAAATAAGTGTGTACACGACAGCACATTTTTGCTAAGGGGAAATTCAAGTTCCTGCACTTATTTATGGAGATAAGTTTACAAATATGAGAGCATGATCTGCACCACAGGCTACCTCATCACCATGTATTTCACACCATCCACTACTATATTCCCGATGGTTTCCAGACCCACCACTGATTGGTTTTATTGGCCTGTTGTAAGTGATAAATTATTGGACATTTTGAAGAGAAAAGTGTCCTTCCTCCTCTCACCTCATGAAACAACAAACATCTTGGGAAGGCAAATACAAAGAAAAGACCAGATAGATATGGATTCCACTCACTTCCATCAAGCATCTAATTCTATTTTATCCATTTATCCCTAAATATTATAAAAATTGATAGTGAAAAAGAGAGGGCAAGGATTGATGACTAAAAGCACTGTAGAAAAAATTTCCTGCTCTATTCCCAGACATGGCAAAAATAGCCGGTGTGCTATCTGTAGGAAGTAAGGAAGCAATTATATTTTTTTAAAAATAAATAAAATATATCAGCATCATCGTTATAAAAAAACTTTTAGGATTTTACCATATTGGCTTTCAAAACTTCTAATACAAAAAACAATCCTGATGCTCATAAACTTTTGGTAGCTGAAAAAAGAAACGCACACACACACCTGTATATAAAGGAGGACCTCCCTAAAAAAATGCAATTATTTTTTGGTGGGAGGGTGCCCTTGTAGTACAGGCTTCCTCCGCTAGGTAAGTGTTCTAGAAACCCACTGGCATTAGTAGACCAGCTAGCATTGTTGTGATAGGCTGTGTTCAACTTCAGTGAATTTTGGGGGGAGGTTCTTTCAACAATTTGCCCTTTACACAAACAACCTGCCCACACCACCACGCTGAGTGCTGAGCAGTTTTTGATGAAAAATGCCATGAAACATGCCCTATCCTCTTTATTCACTCGATCTCACTCCCAGCGACTTTTTGTTGTTGTTGTTTCCCCGGAGGGGAAAAGTCCTCAAAGGGAAATGTTTTGCCCATGTGGAAGAAGTGAAACAAACAAACCAAAAACCTCAGAAGCACTAAAAGTTATCAAAACTGACAAGTTCAAAAACAGTTTTGAGCAGTGGAAGAAGCATCTCAATAGCTGTATTGCATCAAATGAATAATACTTTGAAGGTGACTGAAACGAAAACACTTAGGAATAAAAACACAACTCTTTTTGTAAATAAATTCCAGTTTTTGGAGTCTCCCCTTGTATTTCCTTCTTGGCTTCCTGAAAATGAGGAATTACATACCAGTTATAAACTTAAATGAAAGTGGCATTTGTACCCAGAACAAAACACATGCTACATCTAAATTACCTTCTTCCTCTAAAATCCATTCGTCTATCATAAATTTAGTTAGTGTTTTTGAAATCATGTTTCGATGCTATTTAATTGGTCAAAGGCGGGTATAATATGTTTAAAAACATATAACACATATGCAAATATTGCAATATCATGTTAAACCTGAACTAAAATATTTTTCCACATGTAAGAAGTGACTTACTATCACTTAATATTAATTAGGGCAACATTTCCAGACTTTGCTTTTGAAAGATAATGTTTTTCAGAAATTTGGGACATTATATGACATAGAACATGTTAGAGCTCAATTTGTACTTCAGTTTAAAAAATAAAATTGCAATTTATACCTCAATATGGATACTGTTATAATTAAATAAAAATAGATAATATAATTGGAATTTATATGCTAATTAAAAACTAAAACTACAAAACAAAACATGACCAAACCTTGACTATGAAGGAGTTTAAAAACAGTTTATTGAGTACCATGTACCTGGCAGTCTTCTTGATACTGGGGAATGCAGCATCAAAATGAACAAAAATTCTTGTTACTGTGGGGTTTACATCTGTATTTAATTTTTTAAAATGAACTTAAAAAGTTAACTACAAAATATTTTCTGTTATAGAACATTTTTAAAAGGATACTTGTCTTAACTAATTAAAAAAAAAAAACCTCGTGTGAGCATTTTGTCACAAGCTATATTGGCTACAGCCTTTATGAGGCACTGAGACAAGTTCAAAATCAAAACAAAACAAATTGTTGCATTTTCCATCTTGCCCAGAAATATCCAAGAACTATTGTAGAAGTAAGTATTCATTTGCTCATTCAATCATTGACTCTGTAAATTTTAATTGAATGTCAGGAGGATAAAAAGATTAATCAGACATACTTCATGTTTTCATGGTGATTACTTTTCAGAAGGTAAAATAGAAGTAGGGCATAAATAAATTCAGAGTAAAATGTAAGTATCCCCCCAAAGCATATAGTTTATTCAAATCAAGTAAGAAAAATAAGAGACATGACCAAAAAATGGCCCTTGAATTCTTGAAACTGCCTGAGAACATTTCTTTTTTATTAAATTCATCAATTTGTCAGGAACAAGAATATGGACTGCTCATTTTATAGATTACTATGTATTAAGAATTTATTAAATGTTTCTATTTCTATTTTATTTATGATTCATCCCAGATATCTGGAATAGTTCCTGACACATAACAGTCATTCAATAAATGGTCGTCTTTAAATTTCTCACGTGAAAGAATATTAACTTTTTTGATAAAGTAAATATTCATTACAGGTATTAAAAGAGAGTTGTATATTGTTTCCTCTTCTATAAAGGCATAGGGAAATAAAAACATGAGCAAAAGAAACAAAACACTACACCTAGAAAATCTGTAAGGAAAAACAAACTACTTCTTTGTTAATAGAATTGACTCACTGAATGTTATTTGGTAAACTGCTTACATCTATAACACACAGGTTTAATTATACACAGCTGAAAAACAGGGAAATATTTATTCCTTTCATCTTTTTAAGAGATAATAAAGATTGCATTACAGGGATTAAACAACCTGGGTGACCATTAGAATGACATATTTCATCATAAAACCGTGCAGATCCTGAAATGCACAATACCGTAAGCCTTTAAAACCACTCTAGGAAATCTCCTGTGTGTTCTTATTGGTTTCCCTGGGAAGGTTATCACAAGAAAACTGTAATGAAATGGTGGTATTTGGTATCACGGCAGGTGCTTTCTTGCCTAGCAGTTTGGGGGGCTCTCTAGATGGATAACTAACTGGCCCACCAAGTGAGAAAAAAAAATAGACAAATGCAGTTGTTTTTTATTTCTGCAAGAAAATTTTGAAGTGCCACCTGGGTTGACCTCTCTAATTATCATTATGAACTGTGAAAAAGATGCCCTTTCTTTTCAACAGAGGGTCGGGGTTTCTCTTTCCAGACCCTGACCGTAACCATCATACCTTGTTTGATTCCTTTTAGTGCCAAGTGCTCCGCCTCAGAACGTCTCCCTGGAGGTGGTTAACTCGAGGGTAAGTCTGCTACATGTTCACCACCTCATTGCCCGTCGTTCACTTATAACCTCCACTTACCCAGTCACCATCTTGAGTACAGGATGGTGGCTTCTGTGGGAAGAAATGTTCTGGAACAACACAGTGATTGGCATGGATCCCACATCCTCTTCCATCAGACTTAAGTAAATTCAGTGAGGTATTTGTTTTCTTCGAGGACACTTGATTTCGTAAATGCCAAAATGGTTAGAAAGTCTATGCCGTCAGGAAACAGATGTCTCTTTTGCCTGTGCTCCCCAGAGATGACATAATTGGTGACGTGCTAGATGAGAAAATGGAAAGAGGTGAAATAAAGACTCTGTTTCCTAATGTATTAATTAGAATTGAATATTTCATCAATATTCCTCTTTTTCTCTTATAAATTATAGTAATCAAAAGCCATTTTTGTTGTTTAATAGTTACATTTATACAGCAGTGCTATCCAGTCGTTAATAATTTCCTGGCCTGGAAAGTTGCTATGACTTTCAAAAGTGCTTAAATTAGGCTAAATATAGCTGAAGACAAGCGGTCTATTGCCAGAAATCACTTTTCTAGAAGCTTGTCATTATTTTGGGTGTGTCTCGGGGCTAAAAATAAGCCAAAACCACCTGATAGAGTGGAACAAACAAGGATTGGTCTGGTCCTGTCCTCACCTGATGGTGTGTGCTTTGGAAAAGCATTTCACTATGCCTCAGCCTCAGTTTACTTACTTCTCAAGTAAGGGAATGGCCCTAAGTGGTTTCTAAACTCTGGGAAGATAGCAGGGAAGTGATACGGGGCTTAGAGAAAGTCATACTCTGGGTTTTAATTTTAGCTTTCTTGTTTCATAACTTTATGCAGTCTTGCTAAAATCTTCAACCTCACCAAACCTGTTTCTGTATTCAAATAGTGTGTGTTAATGCCTTTCTTATTGGCTTATCATAAGAGAGTAGTAATGTAACATATGCAATGAATCTAGTTTATTGCTAGTAGTGGTTCCTTCATTTCATGTGCAGCTCTTTATTATATTTTGCAAAAAATGTATGATGAAGCCGCATTTTGTGACTGTGATCAGATTTGCCTCTTTCAAATGGATATATCTTTTGAAGCTAGCAAAATGTCTCTAAATTGTTATTCTCCTATATTTTCAGGCACTAGATTAGATAAGAACTAGTGAAACAAATATAAAATTAGAATGGAGAAGATAATTGAACTTAGGGAAAGAAAATGAGCCAAAGGAAAATAACCCCAAATTAACATCACCCTAAAAAAGACATTTTTATCTGCCACAACATACTTTGCAGATGTATCACTCAAATTAAAAGATTGCCAAATCAAAGTCAAGTAGATTTTTTAAATTATTGCATGTTATTAATGAATGGAACTTGAAAAGCATATTGTAGTGTCTCTTGTTTAATGACATTATTAGAATATTTATTCACTTCATTTTTTTCCTCTAGGAAAAAACATAGAAACTGGTACACAAGCTATTTTGTGTTTGTGTACTCGTATCCCTTAAAAGTATACCCCAGCAAAAGATCAATATTTTCTTCTGAAATGTGAAGGGGGCATTATTGAATGACCCAGGATGCTTACTGTATTTGAATATGGATTTATTATCTTTCTGAAGAGGGAATTCCTGTACTGTAAAATTGGCTTTTTCAACTGATTTCTATATGAATGTCTACAAATACCACAGCCCATATGTTTCTACCAACATGCGTTGCTTGCAGAAAGCAAATACCAGCACTTCTGCGTCTCTCCTCTTGCAGTTTATCTCTGGAACACTGCGCTGCTAGAAATTTTCAGTTGTTTATTAGCTTCTCAGCATGACCACAGCAGGCTCAGACCCTGGGAAGTCTCTTAGACCAGGGTTCCCAAGCCCCAGATCGAGAATTGGTACAGGTCCATGGCCTGTTAGGAACCAGGCGCAGAGCAGGAGGTGAGTGGCGGGCAAGGAAGCAAAGCTTCATCTGTAACGACAGCTGCTCCCCATCCTTTGAATTACCACCTGAGCTCTGCCTTCTGTCAGATCAGCAGTGACATCAGATTCTCAGAGGAGTGCAAACCCTAGTGTCAACTGCAGCATGTGAGGGGTCTAGGTTGTGCGCTCTTTATGAGCCTCTAATGTCTGACGATCTGAGGTGGAGCTGAGGTGGTGATGCTTAGGCAGTGCTGAGGTGGGCAGCGGCTGCAAATACAGGTTAACACGAGCAGTGAGTTTTGACTGCACAGAGACCCTCATTAATCAATTGCTTGCAGACTCATATCAAAATAATAATTTTATAATTTCATAACAATACATTTTATTATATATTACAATGGAATAATAATAGATATAAAATGCACAAGAAATGTAATGTACTTGAATCATTCCAAACCATCCCCCCACCCCGGTCCATGGAAAAATTGTCTTCCATTAAACGGGTCCATGATGCCAAAAAGGTTGGGGACTGCTGTCTTATGCATCCTCTCTTTAGAATCTTATTTTTCAGCTTCTAAGAAATTAGAGGGTTTTTTTTTTCTTGGATTGCCATCAAGAGTGGAAAGAAACTGAATAATCAAAATAGTTTTTTCCATTCTTAATATGGTGATCAAGGGAAAAGTGAAAATAATCTTCGTTTTTAATATTATGTTTTTGAAAATAAAGAAAAAAATTCAAATAAGTTAATACTTACCCCATCATCATATCAAAAGACAAACTGTATTTAAAAGAAACATGATTGAATAAGTATTGTCTCATTCTATATCATATTTGTGATTATAGGACATAATTCATTATTCTATTGATAGTCAGTTGGGAAATTTGGTGCTACTAATATTTTTGCAGAAAGATGATGAGGAATTCTCTACGTAGAACTCATAGTTCATTATGAAGTATAAAATAATGTGTAGGTACTTGTAAAGGCTTTGGTCACCTATAAGCTAATTGGACCCAGAAATTCTATTCTCACATATTCAAATGGAGAGGTCCTCATGCATTTAGATAATAGAATCAAAGGAAATTAACTTACTATATCATTCCTGAAAACCGAGTGATTACCTTTACAAAACTGTAATCACAGATTGCACTAGATTCCCTTTCCACAAACTGTGAGCACAAATTTCTTGTCTGAGTAATGGCTTGATCTGCACATACTAGATTTCAGACAATAATGGGTCATTATGAGATGGTTATTTCTTATTCTAAAATTTCTTTACAAGAAATAATAACTTCACAAGAAAAAAATAACAATTTATAGTATGGATTTAAGTGTAACTGTTTTTATTAGGAAAATCCTTATGAAAATAATTTTCTTAAGAGTTTACTTAGAAATTCAATTATTATTTGAAAAGATAAATATTACAACTTAATTAGTTGGCAAGAATATAAATTGGCATGCAACTGCTTTCCTGCGCTCCGATCCAAAAGTTCTGGGATTAAGAACGTTTAGAGTATGATGGCCTTGGTTCACTTTGATCTTTTTACAAGTTCTTTGAGACCTTGGAAAGTCACTGCCTCTGTTTCACTTATTCAGTCAACAATTACTCCGTACACACTATAACATCAAAAATAACATTAAGAAGATGACTCAACTTTGTCTTCATGGAGTTTACAGTTTAATAGGAAAATACATGAAAAAAAATTTACTTTTCCCCTAACCACAGTTAATCTATTATAATCCTTCATGATAAAATGAGAGGGTTAGAGAGAAATCTCCAAAATCTCTTATGGCTCTAAAATAAGCAACTGTATTTTCACTTATTCTATATTTTTGCAATCATCTTATCTTTATAGAATTAAAGAAGCAACACAAGTAAGTTGATTAGAGTACCCTGGGCTTAACTCACACGTCCAGGTACTTATTGACGGGGTACTCCAGGGTGATTGCAACAAATACAATATTAACCTCCCTCCCCTCCTAAAAAAATGTATTTCACACTGCATGGATCATTATTCAGGTCTAGATTTTTTTTATTTTAAAGATGTAAGGTACAATTCAGAGTTAGGTATGCAAATGTCCACTATACAAGTACCCTTGTTGATGAGGCGTACCCCTCCCTCCCCTGTCAGTTTCCCTCAACTGCCAGTCCCGCCACCACCTCCACCCCAGCAGTTCCCCACTACTGTCAATTGCTTTCTTATTGTATTATGATAATTGTTTAAGATCCGCTTATGAGTGAGAACACATGGTACTTTGTTCTTTGTTTCTGTGATAGATCACTGAGTATGATAGACTCTAAATCCATCCAAGTTGCTGCAGAATCCATATGTTTGTTCTTCTTTATGGTTGCATAATATTCCATTGTGTATGTGTACCACATTTTTTTTTTATCCAGTCCAGTTTTGATGGGCAGCACAGTTGGTTTCATGTTTTTGTTTTTATGAATAGTTCTGCAGTAAACATGCGTGTGCAGTTATCTTTTTTTGTAGTATGATTTGAGTTGCTCCAGGTATATTCCTAGTAGGGGGATTGCTGGGTCATATGGAATGTCAATTTCTAGTTCTTTCAAAAATTGCCACATTGTCCTCCAAAGAGGTTACATGAGATTGCATTTCCATCAGCAGTGTAGAAGCATTCCTTTTTCTCCACTTCCTCACCAGCATCTGTTGTTGTTTGTTTTATGAATGATGGTCAATCTTACTGGGGTTTGGTGGTATCTCAGTGTGGGTTTGATTTGCATTTCTCTGATGATGAGTGAGGCTGAGCACTTTTTCATGTGTCTGTTGGCTGCTCATATGTCTTCTTTTGAGGGGTGTCTATTCATGTCTTTTGCCCATTTTTTTTTCTTTTTTAAATTTTTTATTTTAGAGATGTAAGGTACAATTCAGCGTTAGCTATACAAATATTCAATATGCAGGCACCCTTGTTAATGAGGTGTGTCCCTTGGAGATTCCGACTACTGCAAATCCCACCTCCCCCTATATCCTGGCAATTTCCCACTACTGCCAATCCTTTTCTTATAGTATACGATAATTGTTCAAGGTCTGTTTATGAGAACATGTGATACTCAGTTCTTTG